TCACGGCTGCGGCGTGGGGCAGAGCCGTCCCTCCTACCTGTGTCTGTGACGAGAGGCTGCTCTACGAGCACCTGGAGCTCGCTGGCTTCCCCGGATCCTACGAGCGAGAGCCAGGCTCGTACTTGAGTATGAGATAATGAGGATCCCCTTCCCGCTTCCGTCCCTCGCGCGCAGCCTGGTGAAGGTTGAAAGGGATAAAGTCTGGTGCTCCGAGAGCCGCGGGGCAGCGTCCAGCCCTGAGGGAGCAACCGTGGGCCTGAGGAATGAGAAGGAACTTAAAATCCCCCTCCCTCTGGCCCTGTTAATTAAGTCTTGTGAAGCTTATGACCCCTTCTTCCTATAGATGACTCGATCCAAACTACGTAACGCTCACCAAGGGAATAAAGGCGCTTCTGGTGTGTCGTGGCACCCGGAGCCGCTGCTCTTTGGCTTGCGGTGGGGGGGAGAGGGGTTGTGCCTCCCCCCCCCCCCCCCGCCCTCCAAATCACCCTCCTGGGGCGCGGGGCCAGCCCGGTGTTTGGGGCTGGGGTCCTCAGCCTCTCTGCGTCCGTCTGCTCAGGGTGAAGACGGCGGTCGTGCGGAAGGAGGAGAGCGTGAGCAGCCTTCGGAAGCAGTACGAAGTGAGTGAGGGGTGGGCAGTCATCCCCCCCCCCCCCAGACCCGCGGCTCTGCCCGGGGGACGCCCCCAGCTCTCCCTCTCGTGTGCTCTGTTGCAGGCGGCCGTGCAGAGAGCCGACCGCCTCGAAGCCCTCCTGGAGCAACAGCGCAAGCAGCTGCTGGTCGCCAAATGACCACCCCGGGGGGCACCCCCTGGACCCACACGCCGGGGGGAGCAGACACCCGTGTGCGTGGGGCTGGGATCAGGCTCTCCCTTCCCTCCCTCTACCCTCATTTTTTTTTACAGCCTCGGCCCAGTGCTGCGGCCGTGAGCTCTGCCGGGGCAGCCTCGGGGTGTTCGGTGGTTGTGTTTTAACAGTAAATCTGCGCTGGTTTCTACAGCCGCTTGTGTTCGATCTGCATCCCCTGGGGGGCGTGGGGGGGCTCTGCCCCACTGCCAGCCACAAATTTTTTCTCGGCTGGTGCGTTTGTCCTTCCCCGTGTGTATCAGTGCCAGGGTGGGAGCTCCTTTTCCTCGTGGTGTGAGCAAGCGGCCGGGCGTTCCTGAGACCTTCCCTAGGGTGGGATGTCGGGGACCTGCGGGTCACAGTGGGAGATTCTGAGGAGATTTTGAGGTCGGGGGTTGGGATGAGCCCTCCCCAATCCCACCGTCCGGTGAGGGATGGGCGGATGGGGGAGCTATCGCCCGGCAGCCTCAGCCACTCTGATGGGGCCTGGCTCTGCTCCTTCAAAAACAAAATATCCAGGATGCTGCAGGGAGGCACGGCCAGGGCAGGACGTGATCCCGCAGCCTCTGCTACCTGCAAATCTCTCTGCGGCCCGTGACAGCGACGGGAAATGCCTGGGCCAGGCCGGCGGCATCTGTTTCCTCTGGACCGGGAGCGTGCGACCGCTCCTCTACAGCCTTTTCCCTCCGAGGAGGCCGGGGCTCGGCGCGGGGGGTGAGCAGATGTTTGCTCATCAGAGTCCCAGTGGGTTTCCCGTCCGTCCTGCCAGCCCCCGTGCGCTCGGATGGGCAGCGTAGGGCGGGCTGGGGGCCTCCTTCCACCCCATGGCAGCGCTGCCGGAGCCCCCCCCCTTCCTCCTGGGGAGAAGTGGCCGGGGAGTCCCCGGGGCGAGGCGCAGAGGAACCCTTTGTCACCCCAGAAAGCTGCAGAGGAGCTCGGCTGCTTCCCGGCGCTGGCATTTTGTCCTGGAGAGGGCTCCCTGCTGCAGCTTCTTTGGGGGGGACACGCGGTCCCAAGGCCCCTGGGGGATGCTCCTTGCCCCTGCCCATGCTTTGGCTCCGGGGGTCAACTGGCTGTGGCAGAGCGTGGCCGGGTCCTGCGCGGCTCCTTTTTCCCCTCGGGGCTGGTTGCCCGCTGGCCCCTCGCTGAGCTTTTCCCCTTCTCAGCCGCCCGAAGGAGCCGGGGAGGAGCAGGCGCCCCGTTTTGCCGGGAAAGGCTGGGCACCGTGCTTGTTTTCGCTGCTGTTGCTTTTCTAACGACCGTTTCCTGAGCGCCGCTTCCGTCCTCCACCCCTTCGCAGCCTCCGCTCGGGCCACCCCGAGCCTTTCGCCGGCATCTCCCGGCCCCCGGCTGGGTGCTGGAAGCTGCTGCGGTTAAATTGATTAATCATGCGAAATCTGGTGGGGGAGGAGGAGAGGGGATCGCCCCCCTCGCTGCCTGGCCCCCTTGACCATGTGCGGGATGGCAGCGCCCTGTGCCTTGACCGGCTGTGAGGTGAGCACCCATGCAGGGTCCCCTGGGTGCCCCTGTGCCCGGCCCCACAGCCCCCCCCGCCCCCTCCTCGGGGCTGGGTCCTCCACCACCTTCCCAGCCCTGCCCCTCCCCGGCGAGGCCAAGGCTCATTTCTAGGCCAGTGCCCGGTTCAGGCATGAATAAATCAGCGGCGTTGCATAACCGGGGCTGCAGATTTTCACCGGATGGCTGCCTGCTCCCTGCTGCTGCGCCAGCGCCAGGCGCCCCACTCCCCTCACCCCGGGGGTCCCCCCGGGACCGGGGCTGTCACCCACGGGGCACAAACCCCGTCCCTGGCAGGCGGTTAGCAAAGCTGGCGGTGCGGCCGTTGCAGGTTCCGCCAAAGAGCCCCAGTTAAGGACCCCTGCTCCTCCTCCCTTTGCCCATCCCTGGGATGAGGTGGGATGAGCGGAGGCGGCGAGCCCCACCGCTGGGCCGGGAAGGAGGGCAGGAGCACAGGGTGCTTTTGGCAGCCGTGGGGCAGAGATCGCAGCTCAATCTGGTGTCTGCCCCTGAGGGGATTAGCCGCGGCCCCAGACAAATCAGCCGGAGCAAGTTGGCAGGATCCAGGCGGGGTAATCCCCCCTGCTAATTGGGGTGAACGTGCTGCTCACCTGCCTGAGATGTGGCAGCAGCGCTGCCCAGCCGAGGAGGGGGACTGGCCAGTGTGGGACCGTCCCTAGCACAGCCCAGAGCTCCAGGGTGATGCCTGGGGGGACCCTCACTGGGGCTTTTGGCCTCAATTCTTCTTTGGGATCTTTTCTTTCACAGCCATGTCAGAAAACCACAAGGAACGGGGGCGAGAGGAGGGCAGCAGAGGGCACGTGGTGGGTTTGGGGGACCCCGGCACGGCTCAATCCTGCTCCCCGCCGTGTCAAGCGGAGCTGCTGGGGCTGAGCAGCGGGGCTGTTACCTGGGTGAGGAGGGTCCTGGCTGAAGTGGGGGTCCCAGGTGTCCCCGAGGAGGGCAGGGGGGCAGGCACATCCCATCCCTGACCTCATCCCATCCCTATCCCAGCTCCATCCCCACTCAGCCCTGTCCTTGTCCCATTCCCATCCCATCCCGCCCCAGAGATGGGCTCCTGCATGTTGGGAGGGAAGGGACGCCGGGCACCGGGGCTGTCCCCGCGGGGAGCTGCCCTGCCACCCCCAAACACGACACCCAGGTGATTTTTATCCCCTCACCGGCGCCACCGCTGCCCCTGCCCTGCAGCAGGAAGGCCTCGAGCTCGTCCTCCTCCTGCCGTGCCGTCGGGACCGGCTGCGTGTGCTCGAGGTGCTGAGGGGGGGCTGGGACGGGTGGGTGCCCGAGCCGGGTTGGTGGGTGCCGACGAGGGCTCCACGCAGCTGCCCACCCCCGCCAGCACCCAGGCTCGCCGTGACTCAGCCGCACGAGTCCAGATGTCACCGTGGCTCCAAGAGAGCCCAAACCCCCCGCCCCAGGGTGCCGGGCACCGTGCTGGGGCAGTGTCCAGGTTTGCTTGGATGCTTTGAAGCCCAGGAAGGTGTGTGGGAAGGCTTGGGGGGGGTCCCAGGCTCTGCCACCCCTCACCACGGAGGTGCGGGGGTTGGAGCTGCTCCAGAGCAACGAAACACGGAGACTCGGGCGAAGCGAGCTGGCTCCGGCTGACGGGAGCGTGTTTATTCTCCCAGCAGTCTGTAATTTTTCCAGCCCTGTATCTATTTGCGGCGACGTGACATGTGCAGCGTGGTGTTCTTTGCAAGCTTGAAGTCTTGTAAAAAATTAATCGTGTACGCAAAATTTGGCTTGAAATATTAAAACCGACTGCGGGGAAGCGCGAGCCCCGTGCTAAGAGCGGAGCCCTGTGCGGGCTGGGCCGATGTCCCGCGGCGGCGGCTCCTGGACCGGGGGGTCAGGGGAATGGGACGGGACCGTCCCATCCCCGTGACCCTGAAGGAAAGTCCTGGCTGCTCTCTGGGGGGAGTCGGTCACCGGCTTTGCTCGGGGCCATGGGCAAAGCCGCGGGCTGATCCCTGCCAGGGGGGTTGGGACCGTTCGGTTTTTAGGGGATCCCGTGTTTGGAGGGCGCAGTCCCATGTGCCGGGGCTGCGGCGTCGAGCACACGAGGCCCAGCTGGGCGGCCCCCCCCCCAATCCCGACGGGGACCCCCCCGGCTGCCTTGGCGAGGGGCTGCCTGAGGCTCCCCCCCATGCCAGGGCTGGGGGCTGCGGGTGCAGAGATTTGGGGTGCGGGGAAGGACGATGGGGGTGCGCAGGCAGGACGCGGGGTCGCAGCGTGGGTTGCTGGGGGGGGGGGGGGGAAATGTGCAGAGCCACCCGCCCTCTCCCCCGATCCCCATCCCCGGTCCTGGGAAACCTCGAGTGCCCGGGGCGGCGGGTCAGCACCGGAACAGCTCCGCGGGACCGGGGGTGGGGGGGGGGGGGTGGGGGTCCCGTCCACCCCGGGGGCGGGCGGTGCGGGGGCGGCGCGTCCCCGGGGGCGGGGAGGGGGGGGATTAAGCGACGGGTGTCCTGGGGGGTTGCGGTCCCGCCAAGCTGCCTCCCCCGCCCGTCGGAGCCCCGCTCCCCTCCTTCGGCGGCGGCGCGGCCCCTCCCCGGGGCACGGAGCGCGGGGCCGCGGCGGCCGCCATGGAGGAGGAGCCGCCGCCGCCGCCGCCGCCGCCGCCGCCGTGCCCAGCGCGGGGCCAGCGGCAGCCGGCGGCCGTGAGGCTCCCGCCGCCGCTGCCATGGGCCGCCTCCCCGCCGCCGCTGCCATGTCGGCCGCTTTCCTCAGCCCCAGCCTCGCCTTCAGCTCCCACTTCGACCCCGGTGAGTGCCGCAGCCCCGACGGTTCCTTTCCCCGCTTCACACCCCCCCCCCCCCCCCCCCCAACCGGCTCATCCCCGCTTCCCCCCCCCCCCCCCCCCCCCCCGGCTCATCCCCGCAGCGCTTTGCCGGTGAGCGGAGCATCCCCTCGCCCTCCGCCGCCGGGAAATGTCACGTTACGGGCTCCCCGGTTCTGGCAGCCAGGGGCTCGACCGGCCGCGTTTGACCGAGACATCCCCCCGGGGGGGGGGGGGGGGGGGGTAGGGGGGGAACCGCCGCCGCAACCGGGCAGCGTTTTGTTCCCGGGGCTGGAGCGCGCGGAGGAATCCCGGGGGCTGCGCTGGCTCCGAAGGCATCTCTCGGCTTGAAAATAGGATAATAACAACAGGGATGATGGTGAGAGGGAGGAAGACGGGTGCAGGAGGCTGAGCCCCCAGCTGCCCGCCCGCTGGCCGGGGGGGCTAGTGGTGGCCCCTTGGGCTGGGGGAGCCAGCGGGGCTCGGCGGGGTGCCGGGGGCCGGCGTTTTGGGGCGCAGGCTGTTATGTAAGGCGCCGTGTTACGGCCTCGGCCGCGTCGCAGCTGCAGGAGGATGCTGCAGACGCGGGAGCAGAGCAGGGGCTGGCTTTTGTGTGTGCGCGTTTTGGGGCTGCCGCAGCAGCCGCGACCCTCCCCCCCCCCCCCCCCCCCCCACTCCCCATCTCCCTCCGAGGCTGCCGGCAGCCGCCTCGCATCCCTCCCGGTGCCGGGGATCGCACCCACGCAGGGCACCCGCAGCCCCTCGCGCGCGGGACCCGCAGCCCACGGAGCAGCCGCCGAGGTGGGAAGCCCCGGCGAGGGGCGTGGGGCTGGCGGTGAGCTCGGCACCGGCCCTTTGTTTACCAAACCGGGGAAAACGCGTGTCAGGGTCCGGCAGCCACGCAGCGGTGCCGCGGCTCCCGCGCCTCTCCCGTCGCTTCCTCCATCACCGCGAAGCGGTGCCGGTGCCGGTGCCGGGCTCCCGCATCCCTCCGAGCCGGGATCCCCCTTCCCTCGCAGCACGCCGCTCCCCCGGCCCTGCGGCCGGCGGCTGCGGTCGCTCTGAATCCGTGGAGGGATTTAAACACGAACCACGCCAGGATTCACCAACCCCGTTGCCGGAGACTTTGTTCCCAGCCTGCTCGGTATTGATTTCTGTTCAGGAGGAAACCTCTTTATTTGCATCTACAATGCGGTAGCGCTGGGAACGGCGCCGTGTTTACTGCCCTCAGCCTCCGGTGTGATTCTGCGCTGGGTTTTCGTCAGGTGCCCCATTTGCCGTGCTAATCCTGTCAACCTGGGGATTTGCAGGGCACGTTTGATTTAAAAATCCTTCTGCAAGAAGGTTTCCGTCGCTGCCCGTTGCCGTGCTGCCGCGTGCCCGGGCCCGAGGCTCAGCCGCCGCCGTACGGCTGCCACCCCCGGTTACTGGCAGGGAGAGGAATTAAAGGGGGGAACAAACCGTATTCTCTATTTCACGTCTTTGTTGATTTTGTCTGTTTGGCAGCATCTCCCTGTGCCAGCCCGGTGTCTCTGGGCTTTGCTTGTGCTGGTGTGGAAGAGGGGGAAGCGTTTTGCAGGACACGGTGGCACCACGACACCACAGCCGGGGACCGGGCTGGGCCGGGGGGCTCCGGCTTTGCTGAGGGGAGCGGAGATGCTCCCAGCCCGGTGTCCCTGCGTTTCCCAGAGAGGGACAGTGGGAAGCCACAGCTGCTGGGGCCGGGCCGTGGGCTGAGCTGGCAGCGGGGAACGGTGACAGCGGTGTCACCTGGAGATGCCGAGGGGATGTGGTGACCACAGCAGCCCATGCTCCGGCCTCACTGGCTGTTTTTTGGCTCGGTTGTCTGATGGGGCCATGCCGGACTGTGCTGGCTGCCCGTGCTGACGTGCACTGCTCAGGGGGGGCTGCGTTTGCTCCCAGCCCCGGGGGGCTCCGGGGAAGGGTCCCAGCCCGGCGGCCTCGTGGTTCCCACCTTGTGTCACCCATCCACAGGCCCGACCCCGCGATGCTCTCGCGTGGTGCACGGGGCACCGGAGCCACCGGTGGAACACCGGCCCCCCCGCCGGGGTTTCCCGTGGGAATTGGGTGCCCACTCCCTGCCCTGGAAGCACCGTGAGCTGCCGCAGCCCGGCCCAGTGGACGCTGCTGGGAGACACTGGGCAGAAGTGTCATGTCCCCCTCTGCCACCCGGGTGGGCAGCACTTTGCTTTGGGGTCGGGGCACCCCTTCCTCTCGCAGGGAGGCCGATGGCAGCTGCTTGGGGACACGAGGACATCTCTGCTGGGGGAAAGGGCTGCTCCCCGACTCACCCAGCTGCCTGCCCCAGTTTCCCCCCGCCCCCCCCCCCCCCCCCCCCCCCCAGCTCCCAGCCCACACTTCCCCGTCCCAGACCCAGGAGCACGTTTTGAAATTGTGAGAAACATCCTCTCTCCCCCACCTATTTCTTCTTCCCCTTTTTTTTCCCTCCCCTTGGCTGTCCTGGCCCTTGTCCTAGTGTCACAGTGGCCAGTGAGGTGTCACTGGTTGCTGATTCCCGCTGTGGCTGCGGGACTCTGCTCCTGGACCCTGTGATTTGGGGAGGTCACATGCCGGGGCAGCACGCTGGGGTCAGCCAGAGCTCAAGGTGCTGGGTGGGGATGGGGGGGCTGAGGTTGAGGGAGAGCAGGGTGTCCCCCCAGCCCTGTGTTTTCGGTCCCAGCTGGCACACGCTGCTATCCTCTGCCCCAGGCCACGTGGCGGCAGCAATTTGGTGAGCGCCGGTGCTCTGCGTCCGGCATCACCGCCCACTCCTGGCACGAGGATGGGAAAGGACTTGGGGCACCACGGTGACAAAAGGGCTGTAGCACCCAGAAGGACCCTGACAGCCCAAACCCAGGGCCGGGCACCCCCCCCGTGCTCCCACCCTGGTGCCAACCGTGCCGCTGGCTGCCGGCAATGCCGGGGGAGGATGGGGAGAAGGTGCCGCTGAGGCTGGGTGCCAAGGGGGGGGGTTTGGGGCAGGGGGGTAGGAGCTCCTTAAGTGGGAGATGAAGGTGGTGGTGATGAGGAGCCGTAACACCCAGCACGACCGGGGCAGCACCGGGGCTGGTGTCCCCTCTCACCACACATTCCCAGCGAGGGGACGGCGCGCGGGAGGTGCCAGCAGTAAGGAGCCCGTCCGTCTGTCCGGGCTGGCGGGGAGCAGGAACACCAGGCACACAGGCTGGGGGTGGGGGGGAAGCAGGGGGGGGAGTCCCGGTGCTTGGGGGGATGCCGGGGGTGGGCAGTGGCGTGCGGTGAGCCCCCCCCTGTCCCGGGGGCTGCCGTGGGAGATGGCGTCGGCGCAAGCACTGCAGTGCAGCTGGGCCCCGCTCGGCGCGGGGACCGATCCGGGCAGCCGGTAGCGCCGCTCCCCCGGGGGGGTGTGTGCTGATTTTCTCCCCCCTTCACCCCTCTTTCCCTCCCTCCACCTGCTGCTCGCTCCCCCGCCCCGTGCCCACAGGCGGTTGCGTTCTGGCTGGCGATATGGATCCCTGTCAAAGCCAGTTAGGAGAAATTAATACACCGGGGTTGAAAGGGCTCCCGGGGCGGGGAGCGGGCTGTGAGTCGCGGGCTCCCTGCCCGGTGCTCCCGGCGCTCCGTGGGATGCCGAGTGCCGGAGCAGCCCACGGGCACCGCGTGCTCGCAGCCGGCGCAGGGCTCCAGTGCCCGCTTCGGCCCGCGCCTTGCCACCCCACCGGCACGGGGAGATGTGGGGCAGAAACGGCACCACCAACGCGCCGCACCTGCGTGGCACGGCCGCATCCTTCCCGCTGACACGAGGGGGCTGCGTGGAGCTGGGGAGGGGGGGGCTGCAATAAGGCGGGGGGGGGGGTGTTTGCATTTAGCCAGAGGCCTGCCCGGTGTGGGCTGCCTTTAGCCGGGGCAGGCAGAGTGGGTGACTCGTGCTTCCCAGGTTTTGGCTCGTTCATGTTACGCTTCCTCGCCACCCCATGAATCCCCTGGGCTGGAAAATCCTCACCGGGCCAGGCAGCTCCTGCGCTCGGGTTGAAGGGGCTGTTGGGCCACTCTTGTCCCGCGGCTGAGCCTGTTTTACCCCGCGCCGTGCTGACCCGGCTGCCTGGGAGGGAGGGATGCTCTGCCAACCTCTGCTCATCTCCAGCTGCTCCTCCTGCCCCGGCGAGTGCCCCGGTGTGGGGCTTTGCCCATCGGGGTGGGCTGAGCTGGAGGGACCCTGCAGGGACACGGTGCCGGGCACCGGGCTGGGGTAGCCGTGGGGAGGGCTGGAGGGTGACAGTGCTGGCACGGAGAGGAGCCGAGCCGTGCTGACTCAGCGTGCCCGATGGCAGGAAAATAAATCTCCTCTGGGCATTAATCCCCCTGACAGCCCGGGGAAGCGTTGGCGGAGTGTGCGGCTTGGCTGTTTTAGGGCAATTACTGACATAATATCGTTTGCCATCAGCTGAGCTCTGAGAGCTGCTCCAGCCTGGCCGGGGGTGCGGAGGGGATGGGGATCATCCTGGGTTGCACTGGGGCCGGTGCAGGGCTCGTGGTGGTGCTCGGGGCTGGCTGAAGGATGGAGAGGATGTGGGGCTGGGGATGTGGGAGGGCTCGGCACCGGTGAAGGGGGATCAGGTCCAGGATTTCCTGCAGAGCCACCGTCCCCCAGCCCAGGATGAAGGCAGCAAGCGTTTGGGGGGGGTCCCGCTTCCCGTCCCTTCCCCTCTGCCATCCACAATCGGCGTCTTCCTCCGCAGCCTCGTGCCAGCAGCCGTGTTAAAGCGGTTTGTTTTAATTACTGGAGCAAAGGAAAATTCCAGTGGAGGCAAACGCAGTAAATGGAGCAGCGCTGCCCGCCTGGGTGGGCAGGGACCGGCTCTCCCGTGGGCAGGATCACACCCAGGGTCCCGGCCGGGCCGGGCCGGGATGTCCCGCTGCCGGGCTGCCGCCTCGGCCTCTGCAGCCCTTTGTCTTTCCTAAATAATCTGTGAGGTTGGGTGCTCC